TGGCAGGATGTTTCCGCGATAGGGAACGAGGGAGAAGTTGCAATCGCGTGTCGGTGACGAAGAGATCAAACATTGTAACGACATATATATACATCGTCGTTATCTATTATTTGAGATTATCAATACATATGTATATATATATATTGACAATATATACATTGACGATGTGAGTGCAAAAATTTATTACTTTGCAGTTGTGTACGTGTCACAAAGTAGAAGAGAACGACGGAATCACACGACGCTCAGCGGGTCAGACTCCAATTACCTCAATCACATTAAAATTCTAAAACATGATACATATAAAAAATGATATACTTTTTATCCAATGTTTTAGTTTGTATAAAATTTATCTATAAAATAATGTAGCAATGTATTGCGCGCGTATATACCCGGTAAAAAAATTTTCATATATATTAGGTCTACCGGAAAGTTCTGTCCGTTTTTGGAATAAAACAAAATACAAATTTTTCTTAATTTTTCAAAACTGGGATATACAAATTGCCCTCGCGCTGGCAAGAAATCATTAATATATAACAAAGACAATTATATTATTTAATAAAGATTATTGACGGTAAAAAAAAATTTGTATTTTGTTTTATTCCAAAAACGGACAGAACTTTCCGGTAGACTTAATACTTATACACAAATTAAAATAATTATATCTAATTACGCAAATTTATATGCCGAATATGTCCATACATAATTTTATACACGGAGAATTTCTGTTTTTAAGAGAATGGCTTCAGAAATATTCCATATCAAATTACAAAAAAATAACTCTATTAGTATCATGTTAGATACTAAATAATTATATAAACCTATATATTTACTATATTTTTAAAAAATTTTTGATATATAATCATATAGACTTGTACACAAATTAAAATTATTATATCTAATTATTCAAATTTATTTATATATATATATGCCGAATATGTCCGTGCAATTTTATACATGGAAAATTTTTTACCGGGTATGAGCGAACTACAAAAGTTATGCGTTTGATGAAAAACCAATTTAACACGAAGGTGTTAATAAATTTTCTTAAGCGAACATCCATTACCCCGTTTCTCTTCTATTGTATTCAATATTTAGCGCAAGACTGACGTTTTGTATTGACTTTTAGACGAACAAAACGCCCACCTCTTTATATAGCGTGTTACTAATGAAATATTTCGTTAATCTATCCCGCTTCAACGCTTCCATTCTTCGCTTATCGTTTCAAACTGTCTCTCTTTTCCTCAAACCGTCCAAGTTCTTTTCTCCAGAGCGATCGCTCCGATGAGAAATCGCGAGATACACCAGGAGGTCGGCGAACGCGTGGTTTTTCGTGGTTTCGCGAGGTTTCGCCTGTAAGAGAAAGAAGGTGTACATAGATATTCTCCTGGTAACAGCAGTCGGCGAGCCGCCCCGGCTTATTTTCGCTGGACGCGAACGTCGAAGACAACAAAAGTACCTCGACGGAGCAGATGCATGGCATGTGCTACGAACCGACACCAGATGCCCCATTGGCGTAGAGAGAGGTCCCTCTCTCTCTCTCTCTCTCTTCTCGGCGGACGATTCCGATAAAGGTGCACGGCGTGCGATTCCTTTCAAGCTGGTCGCGTGCCAGATCCACGGCCGTGTTCGTTCGTTCACGTATATACATATATATATATATATATATATATATACGTGGCTCCTCTTCCGCGGGTCTTCTTAATGCTGCGGTCCGGAAACAACGAGTCTCTCTCCGAGCACCAGTTTTCAACCACACTTTTAATTACGGTTTTCATTTTGATGTTCGCGGTAGCTTTTTAAAAATATATGCGTCTAAACAAAATCTACTATTATTGTTATTTGTGCGTAGTTTTTTTTGATATTCGCAATAAAATTGCGGCGAACAAATCAAACGGTTGAAATAAAAAAGTCAAATAGCATTTTGTTTATCAGCTCGTTGATCGTCTCACCGAAAGCTTTTCACTTTATTGTTCAAATTTATTATACATTCGTGTTTTATCGCGTTTTAAACGCGAAATAACGTCCGGCATGACAAAACATGTTCGTGATATTTTTCGAGACGTTTTAGAGACATACACTTCGCACAGCGTGCGTGCGCCCCCTAAATTCGTTCAAATTTTTTCACTCGCTTGAAACAAAATTAAAATGTAAAATCCAATCGATTCGGAAACTGCCTACTAAAATTATCTGTTTTTGTTTTTTCAACGTAATACAAACGTGCAGTCTGTACTGTATTTCTAAGGATTGAGGAGAAGACGAGACGACGGGCTTTTAACTTAGCGGTCGTTTATTTGCTGGTCAATGTGTTATCTACAGTGATTTATTGTAAAAGTAACAATAGAGTTGTGTATAAGTTAAAACGATATTATACATATATACAGATCCATCTATTCGGTGCGATCGATCGTGCGAGAACGTCTCGGTTGTTTTTTTTTTATAAACGACTCAAAAAAAATTATCCATAATCGCTTCGCGATTCTTTCCGCGCGATCGATCGCGGCGCGTAAAAGTTTTTTTTTTCGACGAGTGACGCACGATCGAGAAAGATTTGTTGTCGATCTTGAGTCACTCTCGTATAAGAATCATTTAATTTTATTTTACTGTTTACTCTCGTTCGCGCTCTTCTTTCAATTCCGAAAACTGATTCCAACGTTGATTGACGTTGCGTCATTTTCGATTATTATTCGTATACGAGAATCGTTTGAGCTGAAAAAATAACAATTGAAAGACACGGAAATTCATTTCGCTTTTAAAAGCTTCCGCGGAGCTCGCAGAGGAAATACGTTAAAGCGGCAAATTTTTTCATTCAATTTAAACTAAATCTCTTTCTTTTATCGACTTCCTTTCTCTCAAGAGAAAAAATATGACCGCCCATAAGAATGGAATAGAATAGTTTGTGCTCGTAAAATCTCTCACGAACTTCCGCGTCTTTAAAAAAAAAAAAAAAAAAAATAACTGACTCACTGATCTACGACCGATTAAGTTCTTATCTACTTCACTGAGCTCTCGTCGTCTCTCGCCTATATAATCCGACTTATGTACAATATTTTCGGGGCTAAAACTTTTTTTCTCCCTTCTATTGTCGACATTGCAGCCAATTTTTTTTTTTTTTTTTTTTTTTCGTATACGATTTGACCGTAAAGAAATCGCGTTCTGTGATAATCGCCGACGATAAGACGCAGTAAATTTGGAAAAGTGATTTCTTAAAATTATTTAAGTACACGGTACATGCATGCCTTTGTGTGTGTGATTACAGTATATATATATATGTACAGACGGCGTCATTAATTCGAAGAATAGGCGTGGGGATCGGAGGGCAAGCGGGGCGGTTGCTCGTAGCGCCAACGGGCGCCGTACTAACTAACTAGTAGCAATCGGGTGTCCACAACTGGACACCCGATTTTGGGACTAATGGATATTTGGATCACCTGGACTTTTTATGTGATCCCCGCGCCTATTCTTCGAATTAATGACGCCGTCTGTACATATATATATATGACATTATAACAAAAACAAATATCACTTTAGCCATTGTGTCTTCGATTATAAATAGAAAAGAGTGTACAAGAGAGAATATATACAGATAAACATCATAAGTTCGTCGTTACATGTATTTTTCGTACACGGATCGAGACGTAGAAAAAATTAGAAAAACAATAAAAACAATCGTATAATTCCAGTTAATCGATCCCGTTTTAATTTAAAAAACTATTGTATTTTGATGAGGATTTCTCTCCCTCTTTCTTTCAGATGCGTATAGAAACAGGACCGCACAAATGCCTTTATCTTATAAAATTGCGTCAACGGTATTCGATAATGGGTCCTTTCGCGTGTTACATTTTTTTTGCAACTTTATTTTACTTAGAATAAGATAGATGTATGATTCGCATATTACTTTGGTTTAAGAAAAGGAAAACACAAAATTAAGACGCAAAAAGTAACAAACGTAAAAATACGGACAGACCCAATATCAATTTACAATAAAGATACAATTTTATGTGCAAGAGTATTTTATATACGTTTCCACTTGTATCATCATCATTTATCTATGAAAAAGATTTCGCGATATTGTCGACGATTATCTCATTTGCGTATTCGTGTTTTTTTTCGTCTGTTTCTTTTGTTATTGTGTTTATCTTCTTGACACCTTCTCGATCGATTTGGTTTTACACTTACGATAGACTATAATCTAAGAATTGTTCTAAGAATAGTTTTCTAGTTCGCCGGACGTTTCCCTACGTTCGATGATTCTATTATAATTACTAGAAATGTGTGTTCTCTTCATGGCGTTCTCCTCAAAGTCGTTTTGTCCCCGATCTTTTTTTTTTTTTCCGAGGAATTTCACAAGGACTTATTTTTTTAAAAAAGATCAAAAAAACAGTTTTCGTAGTTTCATCTCGATTATTATCGACGACGCTTTGTTGTTGACAATTTTCGAGATTCTCAACGTCGTTGTGAAAAAAAAAAACAAAACAACGTTCATATCGATCCAGCGTACAAACGTTGTTTATTCGAGATTGTAATCGTCGAAAGATGAGTTTGATTACATTTACGTTAAACTGTTACACTTCGTACAAAATTGTTCAACAATCACCGCAAACAACAAAAAATAAATCTGAATATATATCGAGCGATAAAATCCAATTGATTGTTCCTCGGCAACGTAAACTAGTAGCGTAAAATCGTAAGAAAGCGGATATGTCGAATCATTTCAGCTAAGATATTAAATAAAAAATCACAACTCTCGAGAGAGAGTTCTTATCAAGAAAATTACGATCTTTCTCGAAGGTAGTAAAAAAAAAAAGCAAAGATTCTTGCGCAAACGATTTTACAACACATCGTGTCCGTTATTCTTCGTGTGTCGTGTTGTTTTTACTTGATTTCAATTAACAAGATTAATTTATTCCGATTCTCTCGTTCGAGAAAGAGAGAGAGAAAGAGAGAGTGAGTTCTCTGGCAAACACGCGCCGCGAAGAAATAATTTTTTAATCGCTCACTACCTTAATTCCCGAAACCCCATCAATCCAGAACCACGTTCATGTCCTGCGATTTGGTCTCCGTGTATCCGTTGTACTGAGCGAACGCACGTTCCCGTTGATGGTCCAGGTGATTCTTCATGGCGATGACCGTGGGATGATGAAGCGGCAAGCCTTCATCCTCGACGAGATATCGAAGGGCTTCGCTAGCGCAAGCGTCCCATCCGGCCGCCCAACAGCCGGAATTCTGCTCCTGCTGACTGTCGAAGGATCTAACTTCGGCCTGCGCCGCTCCCGGATCGTCTGTCCACAAACGACGATCCAAACTCGACGGGTCGAAGAATCGATTGTGCATCTCCTGATGATCCTGGCAGGCGTTTTCGAAACTTGTAAACTTGGTGAAGTTTGCGTTTCGCTCGTCGAGGTCGTCGAGAAAGTCAAGGTCGTCTTGTTCGAAATTACTTTGACGAATGGACGACTTCGAATGGTCCGCTTGATCTTGAAGGCAATCACGACCGAGGTAGCTTGTGTCCTGCACCATCTCCACGCTGTGGGTTGGGCTTTGATTCTGATGCGCTGTCCTGTTACCGAAGGACGAGGACTGTTTCTGCGAATGTTTGAGTTCCTGAGCCAGACAGGCGGCAAGTTGATGGAGCAACTTGGCGTTTTCCGTCTCCTCGTCGTCCTCCTCGGGCACCTCAATGTCCACTTCGACGCCTTCGTCCTCCGATGACGACAGGAGATCCTCATTGTCATCCTCATCCACGTCTAACAACGTCAGTAATCGCGCGGCTGCGTCTACACAGATAAATAAACGCAGATTATCTGCGGAATACAACTTTTGATTCAAGTAATAAATTTAAGTTTATTCAATTGATAACTTTGTTTTTTTTATTTGCCTCTAAATTATACGTTTGAAACTAATATAATAATTATTTTTTTCTCTGTTACAATATATAAAAGTATTTTTTTAAAGTTATATAATTTTAAAGTTACAAAACTCCGAGTACTAGGGTAAAAGACCCAATTACTGTCACCTGAATAATAAACTCTGGCGTTAGTGAATTGTTTTTACTACTTATTTATCAAAAACATGTGTTTTTCTTCTTATCTGATATTATTCGATGTCTCTAACATAAAGAACAAAATAATACCGTCTCTCAAAATCTCTATTTTTATTTATAAATGTAATAATTAAAAAAGAACGATGCGAGAGCTATTACTGTCGCCCCTAAAATGAAAGAAATGAGACACGAATGTTGAGCGCTGGATTTTTTGTTATATTAATTGCACTTAAAACTCTATGTTAGATTGTTTTCATGCATAACTTTTTAGGATTTATTTAATATTTTAAATAAAATACCTTAGGGTGACGGTAATTGGACAGGTGACAGTAATTGGGTCTTTTACCCTATATAAGAAAAAACTAAAACCTTAAGTATTTGTTACAAAAACCAACTCGAAAAAAAAAGTACGCGCATTGGAGAAACGTTCAGAGATGTGATAAAAAAAAAAAAAAAAGAAAACAGTCTGGGAACGGTGGGATAATTCCAAAACTTGTATACTCGTTAAAAGTCGCCGGATGCTGGTATTGAGATTCCGTCGAAAAAAAGAGACGACGCGTCGTATATGGTTCCACAGATGCATTTCGCACGATAAAGGCGCGCGACTGAGAGTCCAGCGCGTTGGATCAAACGACAATAACTGGGAGAAGTACATTAAGTACATTATTGTAACAACCGGACCGCGATTTGACGTCGAGTAGCCCGCCGCGATGAGATCGTCGTCGGCGGCGCGGCCCGGTTTTGCGGGTCCTGTGGGAATCCTGCCCCATAAACGTCTCACGGGAAACTACCTGTCGCCCGAAACCTATACACCCCGTCATATCCGCCCTGCGAATCGCCGAATTTCGCACGAGTCTCTCTCCTCTTTTTCATCTCTCTCTCGTACGTATGTATGTTGTGTTCGTATAGTGTGCGATGCGGCGGTATCGGTGCGGCGTAAGTGTGCGTTACTCGCCGTTCACACACCATTACGGAGAGCGGAAAGGTCGTCCGGCGAGGGTAACTTCGAGATATACCTGTTCCTGGGAACGGGAGCGATCTCGATCGGAAGGTGGCGATCGATTAAAGTGTACATTCGAGTTCGGGATGGAGAATAAAAAAAAAAAACATTTCACAATCTGATCAATTATCGTTGCAATTGTAGAAAAAAAAATATCCAATTATTTTTGGTGTAGAAATAAATTTCAAGAAGAAACGTTACTTTTTTATCACAAAAATGTAATGTAAGATATCAACAAGGAATGTCAATTTGATTATTATACAAGTACCGATCTAAAGATTTAGTGTAATAAAACATTAAAATTTTATTAAAATTCACATTACTTCGATTATTAAAAATATAGAGCAAATAATAGTAGTTTATATTTTTTTCAATAAAAATTTAAGATATATAAATTTATAAGACTATCTTTCAATAAATTTAAAATATTATATTATGTGTGTGTTATTTAAAACATGTCTTTTTTTCTTTTTTCAAGCTAACGCGTTTTTACAAACGCCAGCGAAAAAGATTAAAAAACTTATGTATGTTTGGACAAATTACACAGCCACACTGTCTCTCTGTAACGTTATTCTCACACATGTTTTCTCTCGGCGTCGCCCAATGTATTCGACGTTTTTCAAACAGAGACAAGACAAGCGTATATTACTCGCGTCGCGCTCGTTCTTTTTTCTTCACGATAATAGAAAAGTCTGGACCAGTTGCGCGAGAGCGAGTTCGTTTTGATTCTCTTTTTTTTTTCGATCATCTTTTTCACTCTCCCTCAGAAGACACCAATGCGAGACTCTTCTCGCCGGACGTTCCCACAGGGATACTCGCATTTAAATGTCCTGTTTCTATAGCGCGCGTATACTTGAATTGGCTTGGGTTAGGTTAGGTTAGGTTAGGTGACATATTTAAAGGGACCATGAAAGGCACTTAACGAACGCGAATTATTTGTTTGTACTGAAAAAAAACTGTATAAGCCGAACATAAAAAAAGTAAAACTCATCATCTATATATACAATTACATATCAAAACTATACATAATATTATAATAACGTATCCCGGTAAAAAATTTTCCATGTATAAAATTGTATGGACATATTCGGTATATAAATTTGCATAATTAGATATAATAAGTTTAATTTGTGTATAAGCATATATGATTATATATCAAAAATTTTTTTAAATATAGTAAAAATATAGTTTTATATAATTTTTTTGTATTTAACATGATACTAATAGAGTTATTTTGTAATTTGATATGGAATATCTCTGAAGCCGTTCTCTTAAAAAAAGAAATTCTCCGTGTATAAAATTGTATGGACATATTCGGCATATAAATTTGCATAATTAGATATAATTATAATTATAATTATAATTTGTGTATAAGTATATATAAAAAATTTTTTACCGAGATATTGCGCACAAATATATTTTTTCACAAATATATTTTTTCCACTCTAATAATAATATATATCGTGTCATAAAAATGATTAAAAATACATTTGTTACCGCTTATACGAGACAATAATAATAAAATTATTTCTTCACACGGACAGATATAACATTGCGCGATATAAACGCGAATATAAAATACATACGAAATATATAAGAGAATTATCATTCCCGATCGGCAATAAACCGATGTGGCATATTGTTACTTAAACTTTGCACGCAAATCGACTTTTATCGCGAATCAATCGGCGTCATCGCGACGACTGTAAATTTGTTTACGCGCGTTTACGATTCTCGCAGTTACGCTGTTTAACGTCGTTTGAAATTGCTTCGCTGAGGGTGGACTATAATTCTCGTCGGTGAATAGAAATTCTTGTTGCTGTATGTGTACACAGAATTCCAACACAAGCGCGCACACACACACACACACACACACACACACATACAGCAGACATTAGTATGTAGAATTCATATTTCACGAGAAGATCGACCGCGTACGCGACTGTATAGGCAGCGCAATGCGAAGTTGTTTCTTCGCTTAGTATTAGTATATCCGCAACTTGTTTTATATGTGTATATGTGTATGTATATACAGGGTGTCCCAGAATTGCCGTACAATCTCTAGGCAGGTAGAAGGAGTAAAAATAAGTCGAAAAGACCTGAACCATTTTTTTCTATTTATAATAAAGGAGTAATTATTGAGTAAATCAGGCCAATCAGCGCAGACCTTTAGCCAGGCACACGTCAGTGAGCACTCACACACACCAGGCGTGCGGCTCACTGACGTGCGCCTGGTTAAAGGTCTGCGCTGATTTACTCAATAATTACTCTATTATAAATAATAGAAAAAAATGGTTCGGGACTTTTCGACTCAGTTTTACTCCTTCTACCTGCCTACGAGAGATTGTACGGCAATTCTGGGACACCATGTATATATATATATATTTCGTGATTAATGACGTCGACCTAATAAATTTTGTCACGACATATGCACCCGAAGAACCGCCTCGCAGGCGTAAATAAATACGAGAACGCGACGTAACGCGGTTGCGCTATCACGGGAAATATCTACGTCATTCGCGCCTTATTAAAACTTTTAATCGAGAAGATTGAGCATCGTCGCGCTTTCTGACGAATCATTTTATCGCTGTGAAAATCTCTCAACTCAGCGAGTTAATTGGACGACTCTCTTGCACAAATGAAGGCAGGTTTCTTTTTATGCGAAACGACCGGAGAATGGTAGTAAAGTTTCAAAAAGCCTCTTCAGAGAGAAGATTAATTAAAAATTATTTTCTCGTAAAAAACATATAATTGCTATTACTATATATCTTATCTATAATAATTGAATCAAACTAGACTAAACTTTAAAAAATATGTGTGATTACAACTTAAAATATAAATCGATATTTAAAGATTTGTAAATTTATTCATCGTCATTTTTTATCCAGTGTCTGTGTGTGTCGCGAGAACGCGCGTCTAACGTGTTTCGTTAACGACTGAAAAATTAGCGCGACAATTCTCACGCTTAGAAAAACCTAAGGAAAAAACGTTAGGACGTTATTACAGGAAACATCGGTGACGTTTTTCATTCAACGCGGGGCGCGAGCAAGGATTTTCTGGGGCGCGAGAGAATCCCCATCAAGGGCGGATATTCTCTCGTACGACGCCGTACGTAAAATGTTTCCACTTCGTTTTCTCAAGCTTTAAAAAGAAAAGTAAAATTTCCCGCATTCACAGATGAATTCGATTCGTTCCGTATTGCTGAAAGTACAGAATTTCGTAAAAATATAGGTCAAAGATATATGTGAGAAAATATAGCGGATACATGTGTACAATATGTTACTTTGTTACTTTGTTACAATATTAAATTTATATATGTATATATATTAT